TATTTATTTATTTTATTTTTTATGTGAGAGAGAGAGAGAAAGAAGAAATATGGAAATGTGAAGACTTAACCATGTCTAATATTAGCAAACATTTCACACAGATGAGTCTTCTTATAAATTTTAAAGAAGAATGTATAGATCTCAGTGGAGAAAGGAGGCTTAGTAAGCAAAAGACTTGCTTGCCAGATTAATATGAATCAAATCTTTTGAAGATGAAACATTTCAAGATTTGAGAGGGATAGTCACAAACATCAGTCATGTATATATTCCAAAAAAAAATTCATGTTCTTTTAAAAATCCACATACACTGACAGTGTGATAAGGTTTTTGTTTTATACAGAGCAAAATATGTTTACAACAGATGTGTAATGAGATTTTTAATAATATCCTCTAATAGTTTTCTAAATCGAGTTTCTTGTGTCAAATAATGTAAGAAATCAAGAAAGTGCTAAACACGCACATGCATATACACAAATAATGTACAGCATATGTTAATGGATACATAGGAGTCAATTAAAAGATCTCTCAATGGACAAAATTGGTATAATTTGAGCAATAAGATAAATAATTATTGGATTATAACACAAAATATAAAATGAATACTTGTTCATACTAATAAAAGCACACAAATAAATAAATGAGAAAAGATAGACAAAACTCTTACGCAGAAATATTCAAAATAATTTATGTAGATAGTCCACTCTCGAAGAGGTAGAACATAATTTCTATCCCTTATAAAAGTATGGCCTGTGTGAAGTGACTTTCTTCTGGGGAAAAAAAAAAAAAAACAGTATAGAAAGAGGAAGAAATCTCAGTAAATTTACAGGGAGAAATCGACAAACGTGTTACGCCCCCAGTCATGCAATCAAGGTTAACATCAATAGTGATAAGTCATCTTGAGAATATGTATCCTCAAATACAATGGTTAGAATGGAACATTACCTCTCTGGTCTTACTCTCATGAATATATTACCCCAGTATAATAATGAAAAACCCCTAATAAGGAACATTCTACAAAATACTTGATCAGTACTTCTCAAAATTGTCGAGGTTATCAAGAACAAGGAAGTCAAATGAACTCTCATAGCCAATAGGAGCCTAATAAGAGATGATGAGTGAATGTAATGTTTATTCTGGATGGGATTCTGGAGCAATTAAAAAAAAAGTAAAAACTGAGAAAATCTGAATAAAATATGGGCTAGTGTAGTAATAATGTGTCAATATTGTGACAAATATATCATTAAATGTACAATGTTAATAATAGGAGAAATTGGTATTAATAGGTTAATACATGGAAACTCTCTGTAAAATCTTTGTAACTTTTTTATAAATGTCAAACTAGTCTCAAAAAAAGTCTATCATGTAAAAAATAAGGGGATCCTATTTCCAGTTCCCTATGTGTGGAGCTCGGAAGTAACCACTCCATACTAATAACAAATAAAAAGATAAAAAGATTGAAAACCCAACAACTCTTCTTGGATGCTTAAGAGAAGATAGAACACAAGACAGAACACTGCCATCAAGATCAGGGAGACAGGCAAATAGAGTTACAATTTACAAGAGCTGAGACTCAAACAGAAACTTCTGCATGATCCCTTCAAAGCAGGAAAACCTGACTTATAACTGACAAATTACTGGAAGCTCAGTGTGGACAATTCTGAGTTAAAACCTCCAGGGAATCTCAGTAACAGGAGAATTCCAACAATTTTATGAAATTTACTTCTAAACTTCTAAACGCTCAGCCATATTCTCATAGTAAATATCTGACGAAAATCCCCCTGAGCTTCTGACAGGGAGAAGAGAAAGAAACCATTTTGAAATAACACAGAGCACCGCATTATTAACAAGGCCTGCCTTCAGTATTAACCAGAATCTAGCTTGCTAGAGTATATCAGAGCCTAAATGATCTGGAGTAAGGGAAATACTTAACTCCAGCACACCTTATCATTTGTTCCACCTAACCAGGTACAACAAAACAAAACAAAACAAAACAAAACAAAACAAAACAAAACAAAACAAAACAAAACAAAACAGAGAAATGCTTGTAAAGTTCACAGTCCAGAGGCATATATGCTTACTAAAAGACTGAAATCTAATAACAGAATTCTAGAAAATGTCTTCCCCCATCACCTTATCATCATGCTACTAAGGGCAATTGCTTTACCCAGTACATAGTGGCCTACTATCAAGAATATATATATACATGCTATATACATCTGTGTGTGTCTGTGTGTGTATACACACATAAGGCGTATCAAAAAATGTTAAAAAAAAAAAAAAAGCTGACTAGACAGAGCAAATATCAGAATAAGGCACAGTAGGAATGTTGGAATTTTGAAACCCAGAATTTACAATAATTATGGAAATGCCTTTGATAGACTTTTTAGGAACAAGGACACAGCTGAGGAAAGGATTTCTGAGCTAGAGAATATATCATTAGAACCTTGAAAACCAATAGAAGAGATAAAAAAAAAGAAACAGAACAGACTATCCAAAGACTGTGGAACAAGAACAAATTATGTAGCACTTGCATAATGGGACTTCCAAAAAGAGAAGAACAAAAGATATATGCAGAATGATAATATTTGAGAATTTCCTCAAGTTAATATTAAACACAAAACCACAAACCCAGTAATCTCATAGAACAGAAATTAGGTTAAATGAAAAAAAAATTACACCTGGCCATACCATTTTGAAATAACAAAAAATCAAAGACAAAAGAAACATCCCAGAAGACACCAGAAGGGGAATATAAATATCTTATCTATATGGAACAAATAAAATTTCATCCAACTTTTCTGCAGAAATGATGAGCAAGAAGAGAATAGAGTGAAATAGTTAAAGTATTAAGAGGAAAAAAAAAGAGACAAAACACCAACCTACCTAAAATGCTGTACCCTGTGAAATTGTCCTTCAAAAGTAAAGAATAAATAGTCTTTCTCAGACAACTGAGGAAATTTTTTGCAGGTGTACACTGGTCTTGCAAGAAATGTTTTAAAGAAGCTCTTTAGAGGGAAAGAATATATTACAGGTCAAAAACTTGGATCAATATAAAGAAAAAAAATAACATAACATCAAAGAACGAATAGGTAAAGTTAAAATAAAACTTTGTATTTTTCTTATTATGAACTAATCAAACAGATAACATTTTCTTAAATATAATACCAACAATGTGTTTGACTATATATTTTATTTAAATATTTATATATTTATAACTTATAAATATATAATTCAATAATATATATTTATATACATATATATGCTTCTGTATAAGTAAAATGAATGACAGCAATAATATAAGGGACTAGAGAGAAGAATTAGGATTTTTTTATTATATTGTACTTATACTGTTTGTAATGTTTATAGTGTTATTTAAAATTTATTATTAGCCATAAATGTATATCGCAATCTCTAGGATGAGCACTAAAAAACATAAAAAGAAAAATCCAGCCAATTAAGCTGACCATTCTCTTTTCCCTGTGGAGTCCGTTACGCAATGGCTACAAGCAGCAGTCTGTTGGCAGTGTATGAAGACTGTTGACTCATACATGTTGCCCTAAGAGGCATAGAGACAACATTTTTCAGTGAGTATGCATGTTTGAACTGAAGCAGTCCCCAGTGTAAGCTCCAGAGAAGCATGTAGGAGGCTTTCATCCCCAGGGCACAGTGACCAGGGTCCAAGTTGCTCAAGTCATTATGTCCATCTGCACCAAGATGCAGAACAAGGAGCATGTGACTGAGGCCCTATGCAGGGCCAAACTCAAGTCACTTGGCTGCTAGATCAGCCAACAACAGTAGAACACACATTTTTCTTAAAGTAGTGGGGTTTAACCAAGTTTAATGAAGATGAATTTAATGACAAGGTGGCTGAAAAGCAACTTATTTCAGAATGGTTGTAGAGTCAAATACATTACTAATTGTGGTCGCTGGACAAACTAACGATTCCTGTACTTATAAGGGCTGTGGTGTTGTTCTAACCTTACTTACCAAAAAACCTACATTCTGTTTTAAAAAAAAAAAAAATTAAGCATAACTGATATGTTAAGAAAAAAGAAAAAATGGAATCATGAAATGTTCACTTAAAATCACAAAAGGTGAAAAAAGAGAATGGAACATAAAAATAGCAACAAAATCAAGGGAAACAAATAGAAAACAGTAATGGATATAGTAGATATTAATCTAATTATGTCAATAACCACTTGAAATATCAGTGGTCTAAATGTACCAATTAAGAGATAGAATTGCCAAAGTGGATCGAAAAGCAGGACCCATCTATATATCATCTACAAGAACCTAGTTTAAATACAAAGACACATAAAAATTTAAAAGTAAATGCATGGATAATGATTTAATATGATAAAACTATTAAAAAAGTGAGAGTAACTATATCGATTTCAAATAGAGCTTATTTCAGAGATAAAAATATTATCATGAATCAAAAGTGAACATTATAAAATGATAAAGGGATTGATTCTCCAAGAAGACATGACAATCTTTAAAGTGTATGTGCTTAACAATACAACATCAAAGTACATGAGGCGAAAACTAATACAACTGCTAAGAGAAATAGATTAATCCAATATCTAAGTTGGAGACTTCCATACTTCTCTATCACAAAAGGACAGATCTAGCAGGCAGAAAATCAGTAAAGACATAGTTGAACTCAACACCATTAATCAACTGGATATAATTGACATTTACAAAGTACTTCATCCAACAACAGCAGAATATCCAGTTTTCTTAAGCTGACATGAACATTCACCAAGAGAGATTATAGATTGGGCCATAAAACTTAAAAATTTAAAAGAATAGAAATGATACAATGTTTACTATCAGACCACAAAAGGATTAAACTAGAAATTAGTAACATGAAGATAACTGACAAAGCCTAACATTCTTGAGGGTTAAACAATACATTCATAAATAACACATGGCACAAGCAGAAATCTCAAGACAAATTTAAAACTATTTTTAATACAAGGTTAATATACACGAGTCAATGACTTTTCTATATGCCAGGAATAAACAAAGTGAATTTGAAATTAAAAACACAATACTATTTACATTAGCACCCCAAAATATGAAATACTTAGGTATAAACCTAGCAAAATATGCACAACATTTATATGAGGGAAACTACAGAATTCTGATGAATAATATCAAAGAATAACTAAGTAAAGGGATAAATACTCCATGTACATGGAAAGAGACACTCAACATTGTCCAGATGTCAGTTCTTCTCAACTTAATCTATAGATTCAATGCAATTCCTATCAAAATCTCAACAAGCTATATAGTGGATTACAATAAATTGATAAAGTTTATATTGAGACTAAAAGAGCCTGAATAGACAATATAGAATTGAAGGAAAAGAATGAAGTTGGAGGACTGACACTACCTTACATCAAGACATACTAGAATGCTATAATAATCAAGATAGTGGGTTATTGGTGAAATAATAGATAAACAGATTAATGGAATAGAATAGAGACCCCAGAAATAAACCCCCATTTATATAGTCAGTTGCTCTTTGGCAATACAAGGGAGTAAAGATATTCTACAACAGATGGTGCTGGAACAACTAGACATCTACATGCAATAATAAAAAAAGAAAAAAAAGATGAATCTAGACCCAGATTCTACATCATTCACAAAAATTAATTCAAAAGAGATTACAGACTTTAAATACAAAATGTAAAGCTACAAAACACCTTGAAGATAACAGAGGAAAGAAATCTAGATAGCTATGGGTATGGTGATGACTTTTAAAATAAACACCAAAGGCATGATTCATGAAATAAGTAATAAATAGACCTCTTTAAATTAAAAACTTCAGTGCTGTGAAAGATAATGTCAAGAGAATAAGAAGGTAAGTCTCAGATTGAGGGAAAATATTTGTCAAAGTCATATCTGATCAAGTACTGTAATCCAATATATACAAAAAACTCTTAAAACAACAATAAGAAAATTAAGGAAAAAAATTTAAAAATAGACCAAAGATTTTAGCAGACACCATACGGAAGAAGATATACATATGATAAATAAGCATATAAAAATTCTCCACAACATATTTTATCAGTGAAATGTAAATTAAAACAATGAGATACTACTATCTACCTATTAGAGTGGCCAAACCCAGGACACTGACAGCACCAAATGCTGGTGAGGATGCGGAGCAAAAGAAAATCTCATTCATTGCTGGTAGATATGAAAAATGGTACAGTTACTTGAAAAAGACAGTTTGGCAGTTTTTACAAAACTAAACACACTCTTACTTTAAGATCAAATAATAGCACTCCTAAGTATTTACCCAAAGGAATTGAGAAGTTCTGTTCACACAAAAACCTACACATTGATGTTTAAGCAATTTTATTTATAATTGTCAAAACTTGGAAGTAACAGAGATGCTTTCAGGAGGTGAATGGATAAATAAATGCAGTATATCTGGACAATGCATTATTATTCAGCACTAAGAATAAATGAGTTATCAAACCAATGAAAAGATATGAAGGAAATTTAAAAGAATATTACTCAGTAAAAGAAGCTAATCTGAAAATGGCTACACAGTATATAATCCCAACTTTATGACATTTTGGAAAAGGCAAAAGAACAATGACATTAAAAGAATAAGGTTGGCGGGTGGTGAGAATAAACAGGTGGAGCACAGAAGATCTTTAGAGCAGTGTAAATACTCTATATGATATTATAATGATGCATACATGTCATTATATATTTGCCCAGATCCATAGAATATGCAACACCAAGAATGAAATGTAATATAAACTATGAACTTTGAGTAATTACGATGTGTAAATGTAGGTTCATCAACTAACAAATGTACTTCTATGATAGGCAGTATTGTAAATTTGGGAAATCAATGCATGCATGGGGTCGGAATGTATATGGAGAATCTCTGTACTTTCAGTTTTTCTGGGAAACTAGAATTGCTCTGAAAACAAAATTTAAAAAGAATATGAAATGAAATCTTTATAGACAAAAATGTACATAATTTACCAGCAAATCAAAGCTAAAGAAATGTTTTAAAAATATTTCAAGAATAAGAATAAATATATAAAGAACACTTTCCCTCTTATTTTTAACTTCTAGCTGACAGATTTTAAGAAACTTTCTCTCAAAAGGCCAAATAGTAAACATCTGCACCTGCAGATCATAAAGTCCTGTCAGAACTACTCTACAATTGTAAAACAAAAGAAGCCACATAAACAGATGACCATGGTTGTCTTTTTATAAAACATACTTACAAATTGTATTGCAAAAACATACAATAGACAAAGGAAAGCCTCTTCATAAATGGTGCTGGAAAAACTGGAAAGCCACATGCAAAAGAATGAAACTAGACTGCTGTCTGTCACCATTCACCCAAATTAACTCAAAATGGATCAAGGACATGAATAGAAGAACTAAAACAATAAATTACATAGAAGAAAACATAGGTACTAAACTCATAGACCTCAGATTTAGACAGGATTTTACAAATTTGATCTCAAAGGCAAGAGGAGTAAAAGAAAAATAAATGAGACTATACAAATGAAAAAGATTCTGCACAGCAAAAGAAACCATCGATAAGGCAAAAGTGCAACCATTTGGGAGAATATATTTGCAAACAACGCCTCTAATAAGGGCCTAATATCCAGAATACATAAAGAACTCATACAACTCAACAATAAAAAAAATAAAAAAATAAATAGGCAGAGCAACTGAACAGACACTTGTTCCAAGAAAACATACAAATGGTCAACAGACATATGAAAAGTGCTCAACTTCACTAGCTATTTGGGAAATGCAAATCAAACTACAATGAGCTACCATCTCACGCCTGTTAGAATGGCTATCATCAATAACAGGACAAGTAATAACAAGCGTTAGAGAGGTTGTTGGGGAAAAAGAAACCCTCATACACTGCTGGTAGGAATGTAAACTGGTACAGCCACTATGGAAAGCAGTATGGAGGTTCTTCAAAAAACTAAGAATAGAATTACCATATGACCCAGCAATCCTTCTTTTGGGTTATTACCCAAAAAACTTGAAAACATTTATCTGCAAAGATATATGTACCCTGATGTTCATAGCAGCATTATTTATGGTGGCTAGGACATGGAAGCAACCAAAGTGCCCTACAATATATAATTGAATAAAGATGTGGTACATATATACAATGGAATATTACTAGGCCATAAGAAAAGATGAAATACTGAAATTTGTGACAGCATGGATGGATCTTGAGATAATCTTGCTAAACGAAATAAGTCAGACAGAAAAAGTTGAAAACCATATGATTTCACTCATATATGGGATATAAAAGTGAATGCAGTAAAGAAATAATACAAACAGAGATTCATGTACATGGAGAGTGGATTAGTAGTTACCAGAGGGAAGGAGGACAGAGAAGGTAAATAGGGGTAAAGGGGTTAAATATTTAGTGACACAAGGAAATCTAACTTTGGGTGGTGAACACACAGTGCAATATGTATATGATGTAGTGTTAAATGTACACTTAAAACTCAGTTGATTGTATTAATCAATGTCACTCCAAAAATTTTTAATTTAAAAAAAGAA